ATTGCCCAACCTTCTTTCCGAGGAGTGGCTGGTGGGTTTGAACCGCCAGCCTTCTGGTTAGCAGTCAAGTGCCTTAGGCACTATGCTACCAGAGCTCCAAAAGTGTAATTTGCAGAAAAATGAAACACGATCCATACCTCACACCATAAACAAAAACTAATTTCAAATGGATGAAAGACTTAAATGTGAAACTTCAAACTATAAAGTTCATCAAAGAAAACATAGGGGCAAACTTAAGGGTCCTAATTTATGGCATAAATAGATGATCAAGTATAACCCAAGATGCATAAACAACAGAAGATAAACTAGATGACTGAGACCTTCCAAAAATTGAATTGTTATGTGCATCTAAAGACTTCTCCAAAAGAGTCAAAAGAGAACCTACAGATTGGGAAAAAATATTTGGCAATGACATATCTGACAAGGAACTTATCTCTAGAATTTATAGAAAACTCCAACACCTCAACATCAAAAAGACAAACAATCCAATTTGAAAATGGGCAGAAGACATGAACAAACACTTCACCGAAGAGGATATGCAGGGCGGCCGACAAACACATGAAGAAATGCTCACGATCATTAGCTGTTAGAGAGATGCAAATCAAAACAACAATGAGATACCATCTGGCCCGAGCACTAGTAGCAAATTTCAACAAACAGAAAACAACAAATGCTGGCAAGGATATGAAGAGATCAGGACTCTCATACACTGCTGGTGGGACTGTCAAATGATACAACCACTGTGGAAATCAGTATGACAATTCCCTGAAAAGTTGGAATTAGAAATACCATTTGATCTAGCAATCCCATTAGTAGGTATATATCCTAAAGAAATGAGAGCCAGGATAAGAACAGATATATGCACACCCATGTTCATCACAGCACTATTTACAATAGCAAAAAGTTGGAAACAATCTAGGTGCCCATCAACTAAAGAATGGATAACCAAACTATGGTACATACACACAATGGAATACTATGCATCCCTAAAGAATAACGTAGAATCTGCAAAACACCACATAATGTGGATGAAATTGGAGGAAATTATTCTGAGTGAAATAAGTCAATCACAGAAGGACAAATATTCTATTAGTCCACTATTGTAAAAAGTCAAGGGAAGGTTTATATATAAAAGGAAGCTTTCTTTGTTGGTTACCAGGAGTGAGAGGGGAGGGAGGAAACACTGCTACATAGACAGAGACAAGTATTGATTTGGGTGAAGGGAAGGGCAATGTACCAAATGTGAGTGATCAACACAGAGGCATTGAGTAAGAGGAAGACATACAGAGGTACCATGGGAGGTACAGACAACAAAGATGAACCCTTTTGCATGTACAGTACTGCATTGTCAGTGGTGGCAAGCATTGATCTACGGGTGGACAGATGGGTGGACCAGCTGAATGATCAGGTATGTCTAGGGCAGGGTGTGTGTGCCCATGATGATGTATTAGGTTGGCAGATGATGTTTCTACAAGCATATTTATATGTGCTATAAGAATGTGTGAGTGTATAGTAGAGCTGACAAGGGCCAAGGTTGCGGTGCCTTCTTGGTCACAGCCAGCTACCCGGAGGGAGTAGTTGGACCTGTCAACTTGGGACCATAGTTGCAGGGGACATCAAGCTCAGTTGGCATGACATAGTACACAAAACATTGTTTTACATCATACTTTGGCGAGTAACGACTGGGGTCTTGGAAGCTTGCAAATGGCCATCTAGATGCAACGATGGGTCTCTCCTCGTCCAGAGCAAAGAAAAAGAAAACCAAAGATGCATGGAAACAATTAGCCCAAAGGACTCATGGACATTGCCAAACAATAGACAGGCATGTGGGGTGAACATTTACGTCAGGTGGGTGTACTCTTTAGGGTGATCAATTGTAAGAGAACAGAAGGGCAGTGTTTGCACAGGGAGACAGCTCAGGGGGCGGGAGTGCATGGGGGTGAAGGGCACAGTTCAACATAAGGACAAAGTTCAACAGGACAAAAATAAATGCTGGTGAGGATGTGGAGAGATTGGGACTCTCATACACTGCTGGTGGGACTGTCAAATGATACAACCACCGGAAATCGGTGTGGTGTTCCTTAAAAAGCTGGAATTAGAAATACCATTTGATCCAGCAATCCCATTACTAGGTATATATCCTGAAGAAGTGAGAGCCAGGACAAGAACAGATACATGCACACCCGTGTTCATCGCTGCAAAATCATAAAAAGACCAGGCTTACTGGTCTGTTAGAGCCTGGTGAGGCT